AGTCAACCTCATTCTAGTGACAGGTTCAGAAGGTCTCACTGAGTGCTCATTCGCACACAGTAAGCTAATTTCATGTTCTCACGAGGCTGAGAGCACCCCAGCAACCACTCTGCATGGCCTTGTAGAAAATGTATGAATTCCTTCTACGGCTTCTTCCATTCATGAAGTTTGGGCTTAAGAGTCAGTGCTTTCAATGTCAGCTTGGATATTCCCAGTGTCCCTTCAGGATTCTCCATTCATGAGGAACTGTCCTACTCAACTCAGGACAAAAAATGATCCTTTGGCATGGAAGATGGACCTTCAATCAGGTGCCCCAGCAATGGACAAAGAAGCCACAACAGCTTCTTGATCAAAAAATTTAATACAGCAAAAGTGATCCTTCCTATTTTCTAAATGGTATGCTATGGGTGTATGTCTGCCGCAATGACACAAACCCAGCCCATACACACCTTGGCCAGGTGATCTTCATTTTCTGTGTTGACTCCAAAGCGTGAGATGCTTGTATTGTTCAAGCTTGAACTATGCATCAGTTTTTTCACTCCACTTATTTGTGTCATGAGCTGCTGCTTTTTCTTTTTCTCCCTGTCTTTCTGGGTGGGAGATGGAATCTCCACATCGTTCTGCTTGTCTATAGCACACAAAAGAATATGTGTTTTTAGCATATGTTTCACCAGTGAGAATTCACTGCAATGTTCAAAACAACTCTAACTACCTGTAATGGAATCTTATAAAGGACTCTCATAACACTATCTCGCTGGATCTCCAGGATAATTGTGTAAAGTGGGTGAGGAAAATATGATAATTTGTTACTCCATGTTAATGCTAAGCAAACTGATGGCCAGAAAAGCTAAGCAACTTGTCCAAGTGGCAGAGACGAAACACAAGTTCAAACCTTCTATTTTCAATGTAATTTAGGAGAATTACACATATATTTTCAAGATGGAGCATCAACATTTATATGTAGATTGTAAAGTGAGTAACATACATTTATATAATAGCAATGATCATTAGCCAAACTCAGGTTAATAAAAACAGGCTTCATGTTTTGCTCATTTTATTATATTTTCATTTGTTTTTTTAATTTAAAAAATCGAGGGCCAGCCCCGTGGCGCACTCAGGAGAGTGCGGCGCTGGGAGCACAGCGACGCTGGGAGCGCAGCGACGCTCCCGCCGCAGGTTCGGATCCTATATGGGAGTGACCGGTGCGCTCACTGGCTGAGCACGGTGCGGGTGACACCACACCAAGGGTTGCGATCCCCTTACTGGTCACGAAAAAGACACACACACAAAAAAAATCGATATGACGTTAGCTGGGTTCAGTTTAAATGAACAGTATATACAAGGGTACTTCAAAAAGTCCACAGAAAAATAGAATTAAAAGGTAATACAAATCTTTCCATGAACTCTTTGACGTACTCTTATATGTTAGAAAAATAAGTGTTCATAATCTTCAAATAATTACCTTAAAGTCTTGGTTTATTACCATTTGAGGTTTAGAGGAAGACTATAATTTCAGTTTTATTTCATGCTTGTGTCTTTTAATTTTACAACAAATAATAACAAGGCCTCTCATTTGTAATAGACATTATACTTATTAACATATTTATGCTTATTAAATATTTATGATCATTTTATTTAATATTCTTAAAACTTCTGTTGCAACAAGGTAATAGCAGAGCTGGATTAGTGAAAAAAGACGTCTACCTGCTTGTGGAAGCTCTTCCCTTTATATCATGCTGTTAAAAATTTCAGCAATCAAATATTCTATTTCACTTCTATTTCACCAGAGGAATGTATCCTAAATACTTCTGAAAAATGCATTAACTCTTTCAGGCTACAGGGATGGCAATGAGTACACAGAGGCAATAATTTATTAAATTGCTTAATCACTACTTCATTGAACTAAAAGACACCCTGTGGCTGAAAGAGTTAATACAGCTTTCAAAAGTGTCTACATTTATCTCTGCTTGCTACAGTGAAAATTAGTACAAAGACAACTTCTCCATTTGAAAATGACATGCTTCCAGATGGCACACTGGGATCTATCTAGACTATTTGCTTCCAGACTCTTGCAGATGATGGCAAAGTCACATGTTCTCCCCAGAGACTTGTGCCTGCTCACAGGCCCCCATGGACACTTCATCAAAGGAAAGCGAGCACAGCAAGACAGTACCGGCTTCATGTACACCTTGCCACCAGGCTGGAGGGCTGGAG